CAGAGTGACAAATACTAGAACAAAATCTATCATGAGATGATGTGCAATTTGGTATGCATAAGGAAACCATGACGTATGTTCAAAACTTTCCAGGCCTCTTTCTTTGTACATGAAAATATCTTATTGGTCTTAGAACACTTTTACAATTTTGCAGGTTTAGCCTTATTAGAAAAGCCTGTTGAGTACATTTTTCATGTTGTATCAATATGTACTGAGACTGAACTCTTTGAGCACTGGCTCTGTCAGTCCTCACAGACAACCAATTTTCCTTCTGGAATATGTAGGACAGGACCTTGGACTCTATTCCAGGGCTGTGCACCTAAATGCTGAGCACCTAACCTGGGTACCCAGAGCAGGCCATTTGCTTCCCCTGGTCACCCTCCCAATAGTAAATATTGTACCAAAAGAGCCATCTGCACATCAGAGGTGGGAGATCGACTGTATCCTGACCTCCCGATGATGGAAACGTTCAGCTGAGTTGCTCTTACACACGCTCCAAGGCTGTGCTTGCTTTGTGCATTTGTGGGCTTTTAAATTTTTGATTTCTGTGTGTTGAATAATCCACAGATTAACCCAGAGTAATCCCCATTGTGCTCATCGGGACATGGTGTATTAGGGTACCAAGATAATATTCTCCCCAGAGCTCTGTGGCAGGAACAGTCCTGGAGTCGGCTGTGGGGTGAACTGAAGCAAAGCCCATCCTGCAGCTGGCCTTAACACTCCTGTGTATGGCACACACATGGCTTGAACAGCTTTCAGTGAAGTATTGTAGAGGTTCGTAACAGAAATGACTGGTGTGAACGCAGTACAAAAGGAAATGTGCAGTGGGAGGAGGGGAGCTGGCCTTGTGCTTGCGGCTGTGACACATGAAGGGTGGCACCTTTCAAACATGCACGAGCTGTTGGTCTCATATCGCGTGACCTCTATGGTCCTGTCCTTAGCTGGAGGTGATTGATTATAAGTGATCAGATTTCCCTCCTTTGGGTGGCAGTGACTGGTGAGTGGCAGTCAGGAATGCTGTGCTCTCTCATCTTTAAAGCAGCCACCAAACTCTAAAGATATCCTTTGCCATCTTCGATTATAAAGTTATAAATATTGGTGATATTTTTCACAAGTTAATTGCTGCCTTAACAGTTTCTGGATGGGTTTTTTTTGACAGCACTGTCTCACGCCTTAATGATGTTCAACTTGATGGTTCACCAAGGGTTCTTCCCACTCACGATGGTGTTGTGTGGGAAGGAAAATAGAACTATTGGCCCTGTGTCCTGTGGAGAGCTCATCTGCCCAGGAGCCTGAGCTGCATCTCTTGCTACAGGGCTGGAGATGCTGATTACCTGGCTTCTGAAGCTCAGCAGCTTTCTGAGCTGGCATTTCACTGCGCTGAGCTAGGCTGGAAGACCCTTTGCTGAAGAAGAGATTTTTGTTCCTGCCAGACCTGTGTTTCAAAAAGCATCTTCCGAGTGGAAGTGCTGGCTGGCTGGTACTCTGCACTTGCACTTGTCTGAAGGAGTGTGTCAGAGTGCAGCTCTCAGCCTTTCCCAAAGCTTTCTGAAAGGATTCTTTGCTGAAGAAGCAGAAGGCAGCAGAAGCAGAATAGCTAGCCCTGGGGTGGAACCTTTCATGGCCTTTGTAAGCCCATGTGCACATTCTGAGTGTTTTTCCTTGCATCAGGGTGTTCGCTATCATTTATTTTGCGAGCTTATATGAAGGTGAGCAGGTATGCTCTGTACCTACTAGGAATTGGAGTATATTCAAGACAGATATTAAAAACTTTCTCAAGAGAAGTTACAACTCGACAAACCAGTAAGAAACCTTGCAGTGTCTTGGCATAAAACGTGACTTACAGCTCCATCTAGAGGTGATGAAGCATCAGGACACCCAAGAGTATAATGCTGTGCTGTACCAGTGCACTGCAGGTTAAGGTCTGGTTTTGACACAGAAGATCCTTAAGAGGGGAAGAACTTGGGTTACAGGAACACAGGTCACGAATGAAATACCCTGCTGCCCGGTCAGGCTGCTGGGGCTCCAGGTACGGTCAGTCTTTCCTGTGTGGAGGTTTTTGAAACCTTATGCAGTGGCATGATCAAAAGAAAACATATTTTAATAAACTGTTCTGGTTGCTGGTAGGTTGAGGAACGTTGGTGTAAACAAGGTGCTTTCATCAAAAACTGCGGAACATAAGATGTTAATATTTTTAAGGGGAGGTCCGGCCTTTTGCTGTGTGTGTAACAATCAAACTTGAAGATACAGAAAGTTTTGAAAGACTATGCTCATTCTAGAAATGTTCTCAGTTTGTTCTTATATTTTTGACTGTACTTGAAGTTAGAAATGGCTGATGTTTCTGACTCCCCCGCCTATTTGTTCTCTTCCTCCTTGACCATTGTCCATTAGTTGAATGAGCTAATATGTTGTCCGTTGCATTTTAGCCAGGTTAATGCTGCATGTGCGTTCAGCTACCATGCCTCATACTGCAAGTGGTGGCGAGGGGCCTGTCACTGGCATTACTTTGAGCTCAGTTACAGCCTGTGCACTTTCTTTCTGCTTCCCCAGCTGTCAAGCAAATAGTGTTGGTTCAAGCCCCCTTTATGGGTATGAGAAATGAAATTACATTAAATTACGTGAAAATGGCTGGAGACTTCATCTTAAGGGTGAAGGGACTACATATGGACTCCCGGTTGCTGAGTAATCATTCTGCTAGCAGTATGTACAAAATCAGCCTGGAACCAGTTTATTCCAGGAAAGGAAAGGAAAAGTCTCCTTGAAGTGACTAATCCATCAAACAACCTTCTTGAAAAACAGTGTCTCCCACAGGAGCTCTCTCTGAGCACGTAGCTCTGTGACCACCTAAGCTTCCTGTTGGGGGTCTTTGAGTACTTTGTCACAGCAGAGACCTGTATCTTTTTGTAGTGCGCTTTGATTGAATGTGAAAGATGATTTTCTCATTTGGGGAATTACTTCATTCATTTTCAGGATTATCTTGTCCCATGCATTCACAAAAGGTAAAGCTCCAGGTGGAGAAGGAGTGAAATCTTGAGAAGCTGAAGCTTCTGATTTGAAATCTCTAGTGCTCATTGGGAACAGTGGGTGGCCTTTTCTTCTGAGCCTCCCCATTTTCAGTATCTGTTGACTTGACTCTCATCTTCATTCATCCTGACTACTGAAAAAGAAAAATCTCTGGGAGAAGTTGTTAGGATTTGGCAACTGTGGCAACAGGGCCTTTGGCTGACTTGCTGGTGGAGCTGCTGACAGGAGAGTTTATGCATTAGAAAACAAAGGGAATGGTTCCCTTTGCTGTAATATCTCATAAAGATCTGTCTTGTTGAGATACATGTATTAGGTTGCTGCCAGGTGGTATGAAAATATTTGTCCATGATATATTCAGTAGTTCCTGAGGTTAATCTTCCAAGAACTAGGTAATTACTGGAAAGTGTTGTCTTGTGCACCTTGTGAAGAGACTGGTAATACAATGGAGTAAAACTTATCTGTGGTAGAACTATATTTAATGATTTTTTGGACTCATTAGGTAAAACTTGTCAATCACTTGCCATTGTCATTCAATCTATCTCCCTGTAAATAGCTATAGGTGCTGAGGAACAGATTGTCAAACTATTCCTCTGAGATTTTTGACTTCCTCTGCACTTTCTAAATGTGTGCTGGTGCCCCAGCAGTTTCAAAATCACAAACTGAACAGTCCACTATTTGAATCTCTCATAATATTTGTTAGTGTTGGTACCTAGTATCAACAGAAGTTAGCTGTTGGCAGACCACTATAATCCTTACGCAGATCTTTTTCATTTGCAACTACATGTGAGAGGAATCCACAGGTAGTTTTCCATATCACCTGTTGTAGGTTATTTTGACAGTTGAGAAGTCAGTATTCTCAAGCATGTGTCCAGTATAGGACACACAATTATTCTAGCAAGATAAAAATACATTGCAAATCCCTTTCTACAAATAAATTTGTTTGTGCTGCTTACTCCTTTGTGTTTTCATGGGAAAAGTTGATCCCATTCTGTCTTCTTTTCATTAGAATCACCAGATTGCCTGTAACCATTTTTGTAGTATTTGCTTTAATTCTGCAACTCTGTACCAGGAGTAGAGCAGTTGTAATGCTCATACTTGTAGAAGCTTGAAATCACTGAAAATCAGTTGTGATAAGACATGTACTTGAGAAGACATGTCTTTTAAGTGTTAACAAAGTCCTGACAACAGAAGTTTACACTGAAAAGATAACATCTAGCTCTGGTGTGCACTCGTGATAAATAAGACTGCAAGTCCTGCAGACATCCCGCAGCACCCATGTTTTTGTGGTAGCAGTAGCCCCTACGTGTCCATATCGCAAGCATGCAGTTAGACCAACATGCGTAGTGAACAGTGAGTTTCACTGCGTTATTTACATGTAACTTAAGGCATGTGGTTTTTTATCACTTTGCATTTCCATTAGAAGGAAATGGTTTAGAAGTATACTGTGGTAAAAGGCAGGACGGCTGTGGTCTAACTGTCCTCATCTTATCATCCATTCTCATCGCAGCCCACCCCCTCTAAACCAGTTCTGACTGGTTCAGTTTACAGGGTTTTTCCACTAAATAAAACCTTACTGCAAACAAACGCCCCAGCACCCAGAAGCCTTAAAAATCCACTTGTCCTCTTATTCAGGCTAAATAAATAAAAACTAAAAACTTACTATGAACAGTATATATCTGTATAAATAAAATTCAGGGACATGTGAGCTGTTGCAGATATGAAGCCTGAAACTTTAGAAACCCCAGAAACTGATGCGATAGCTGCGCTCAGCATGGTTTAGGCTTGCACGTAGGCACGAGATTTTGTGCAAAAAGCTTGAAAAGCTGTTTTCTGTCTGTTTTCCTGTGCTGCACCAACAGCATCTTTCAGTCTCGTGTATGAGACACAACAAGTGGATTTGTGGATCATTTTCATGAAAAAGATCTTGGTTTATTAATGCATCAAGCATTTCTCTAGCAGAGATCAAGGTAGGAGAGACCAAGACAGTAATATCAATGATGCTACTGAAATCTACATTCCAAAAAAATACCTTTGTAGCTATTTTATTTCACTTTGATTGGAACCAAGCCATAACAAATAATAGCATGGGATATCAGCTGTTTCTCAAAGAGAGTTTGACTGAAGACTAGGCATCACATCTTCCTTCACGTTGAAGAGTAACGTGACATGGAAAGCACTAATTAGTTGCATTGGCTTCAATATGCAGGTTAGAAAATAACTTGTAATATATGCTGTTGGTAAAATAACTGTGGTTATTAACACTGGGCCCGATTTACGTTCTCCTTCCCTTGCAAAGGCATGAGCCATAGGCAGTCCTGTTGTACCAGCACTGCATTTCCCCCTGGTTTGGCTTAGCTCTTCAACAGAAAAGATGTTAACAAGCTAGCTTTTGTTGTTCTCTGTAAAAATATTCCTGTTTAGTACATTGAAAACTGGAACACCAGTGGTTTTAAGGATCTTTTGATTTCCTGAGGAATTTATACAAACAGAGGAATGAATCAGGTTTTCTAGCCATCTTGGTAATTGTGCAAATGCTGGTGATCAAACCCAGGGCTCACAAACAAACCTGGAGGAAAGCTTGTATTGCCCTCTACACCACTGCAGATAGAGTGAATGTGAATGCTGCAGGCACTTATCTTCAAACTTACGGCAGTGTTTTGCCCCAAACTAAGCAAATCCTTTAAATATATCTGCTTCTGATTTTCCCACAGAAATTTGAAAGGAACTGATTTGTGGACCTTGGAGGTGAAGAGTTCAAAGCCCAACACATGAGAATTTTTCCTGTGTTGTGAAAACACTTTATCAAAGCTTCATATTTAAGGTTCTGCTCAACATAAAAAGGTATCTCTAAACACGATAACGTTTGTGAGCGTTGCAATTGTTTTCTTTAGAAATACAGTGTGCAGGTTTTCAGTCTGTGTCACAGTGGTGGGGTTGGACCTGCTGGATTTCTTCCATTTATGTATACGTGCACCTTAGAATTGCTTTTATGATCGTCTGACTTCTTAATTCAAAAATATTATGTTCCCTTTTTAAAATCATGTTTAATTGACTCTTAACGCACTTCAGAATATTTAAGTCCTGATTTGGTGAATACATGAGAATTGCAATAAACCATTGAAAGTAAAAATGAACAAATACCTGTGAAATTAGAGCACAGGAATGCTCCTAATAAAGCCTTAAGCGCAACGGCAAAATGTATCTGTGCTTTATATATCAAAAGCCCTGTTACGCTTCTGAACTATTGCATACATAACTACTGTTAACGTGAGTACCTTCCTCATTTTGCAGTATGGATTTTGGATTAAAATCCAGGGTATGTAAATGTATTCCTATTGCTCAGAAAAATTAGGAAAACCAGGCTGATACAAAAACACAAGCAGTAAAGCAAAACAAGCTGTATGCACTGATGCCAGAGTGGGGCTTTTTTTTTGTCGTTACATCTAACGCTGAGAGCAGGGGTGTCTATATGGATAAGTATACAGTAAAATAAATTTAAGACAATTTTGTAAGCCTTTCCTAAACCAGCATTTATGCTCTTTTTCCTTGGTGCTTGGTTGGAGCCCACATTCTGTAGATGAGGAAGAGTACGATGAGATAGTACATGGAGCTCTTCAGAAGCAGGACGATGTACACTAAATATGCTGTCCTGTGCATTAAGTGATCTGTAACAAACATAAGACAGAAGAGTCTTGTTTAATGCCAGTGTTGTATAACCTCCTAAAAAAGGGGTAGAACTGGGTCTGCATGGTCTGCTGCGGCAATTACATTGAGTTCAGTGGACAGTGTGTAAATACATACAATGTCTAACTGTCCTTTGAGTGGGTTTGCACTACTGATAAGTTCCAGACTGAGCACGTCTCTTAGCATTAGATTTGCCTTTCAATGCCTCTGGGTTGTTACTCCCTGCAAAGGCAAGGACATAATTCTAGTGCTTCCAGCAGATTACCAGTAGCACCATGTTTGCTTGAATCCTTTTGTGCTGGATTTTTTTGAACACAAGTGCTCATGATTCTTCCTAAATCCCTGTTCAAACCAAAAGGAAATTTTTTTTGTCTGAAGTGCTGGGCAATTGCTAGGCTGATGGAGCATCAGCTGAAGTGCTGAGAATTTAACCACTTCAGGTATTTAAAAAAGTGACACTTAGTGCCAGCTAATAATCTAGTAGCCCAAACAGCATCTGTAGCAGGCTAAGAAAGTTTATAGTAAAGCTACCCAATAAAGGCAGGAGAGCCCCTTCTTATAATCCACAACAGAGTAGCACTGAAGGGTTTTTAAGTTACAGACCCCAGACTTAAAAGTTTTACTCTACACTATTTAGAAAGATCATTTTCATGATGTTCTGAGCATATGTATCAGTATTTAACTCTTGCATGACATGCGTCGCTTTCCCACATTTTAATACATCTTAATTACCTCTATTAAAATTAACTGTGCTGTTTCCAGTGCTGCAGTCCTCTTGCTGAGTAGCAGGCTTTGTAGCATCTACTGGAAAGAGAGTTTAAATGCCCCAATTAGGCTTTTCTTTAATTTTAACAAACACAAATTGAGAAATAAGGAAAAAAAAGAGGCAGTACAACGACAGTGAAATGGAAAATTAGTATTAAACAATAAAAAGAGATGTTTAAGATCTGTCTGCAGAGCAGACATTCACAAGTAGGATTCATCTGCAGAGAGAATTTGAAGGGGAGAAATGCTCATAAAGAAGTGACTGGGTGTTTATTGCGGTAGGTGGGAGTTTTGACTTTGCCCTTTCAGGAATGTGTCCATTAGGCTCTTCCTTGGCAGAGTCTCTTTTATTTGGAACTGTAGTCAGTGACCGCCTGATCTTGTCATTGAAGTAGCTGGAGTTTGTTTCCTTCACACCATACTGTCATTACAAATGCAGGATAATTTCCATCAGAACGGATGTCAATTACTCTGTCACTTAATGGTTGCTCAACCCTGAAGAATAATCTTGAGACAAGTATGATCTAAGGTTCCCATGTTGGGAATTTGCTATTTTGGTGTTGGTTGTTCTCTCAACTAAACCCTTTCTGTGCTTGAAGCAGCAAATTTGTGTGTGTTCTTGGTCATGGTGTTCGCACACATTGATACATGGGCTTAAAGACATCTGTATTACATCTCAAAATACATCCTCCATTTAAATAAACTTAAAGCTTATTTCTGTCAGAATACATTCAACATTACAAAGGTTGAAATGTAATGGTTAATGCTGCCATTCATTGGAGTTACGTTAATTTATAGTAAGTTGAACAGAGGTAAATACTGAGAAAAGGTTAATCTAAACCTAAATCTAAAGCTATTGCCAAGACTTAATTTGCATTAATTGTAGGTTACTATTTTCTTTAAAATTCAGTTGTCTTTCAGATTTTGCTTTGCATAATCAATCTTTCCACAATTAAATGAGACATCTTTTATGTTTTAATACATGGTTATTACCTCACTGTTGCTGGACTATGAGCAAGTAATATATTTAAACTCTGCCCTACATCCCCAGCAACCTCGTTTTTAACTCTAGTTTTTTATAGCGGTGACTGATGTGAGGCGCTATCAGAGGGACTTACACCTGTAAGCCATGGCTAACAGAGAGGTAATACTGTTTTCAGAAACTTCTGTATACTGGAAAGTAATCAACATGGCTCAGTGCAGACCTTCTGGAGCTATGCTAGTTTATACCTGATGAGGTTCAAGAACTGCTCTTTTCCTATTACAAAGGGACATTCACTTAGGGAGCATAGCACAGACTGGATTGCTTTTCCTAGGAAAACTTTGGTAGTTCCTCCAGATGTGTATTTTAGCTATTGTTGTGCCAAGCAGAACAGGTGCTTTTTGAAAGCATTGTTTCTAAAATATTATTGCAAAGAAAAATTCATGTCTATAATAACACGTAGAATTAAATTTCTAACATGTAGTATATACCTTGTGTTGACAGCGAACGCTGTTGGCTTTCATGCTCATATTTGCAGTAATAGTTCTTGTCTTTATTCTTCGCTGGTACAGTTAACCAGCTGCCGATTGAGTATTTATCCCCATTTGCGGGCTTCCAAACGTCTCCTTTTACTATGTTGTCTGTTACCTCCTTATTTGCTTCGTCGGTCCATGTCACCCGAATAACCTCTGGGTAAAATTTCTCAATAAGGCAAACATACATTATCTGATTTCCATGTCTCTTCTGCAGGATTTCAGAGCTTGCTGGTGAAGAAGTAACTTTGTCTGGATTGGATATTGGAGGGAAAGAACAAAACAGAGAGCTGAAAGATCAACAGTGTACAGCAAATAAATACACATCCACAAAATAGAACTTCTGAAGAGCAACAATCTAAATGTCTTATTAACAAATGTTTATGATTAATAAATCTATATATATTAACAAATACTTATGATGGGACAAAAAATGTCTCGTGTATGAAAAGAATTTTAGGTAATAGAATGGATGAATTACAGCTGTTTCCATCCTTGAAGTAAAAAGAAGTTTTTGGTGAGCTGGACAAACCTGGAAATCCAACACACTTTATATTAAGTATTATTTTAGTGGACTCAAATGGCAAGTGTTTTTCTAGTCAAAAACGTTTACAATACTATTTAGTTGGAACTTTTAACCATATTTTAAAATGTGTTACTCTATAGAGAACTAAAATAAAAAGAGGCTGTTATGAGTATGGTACAAAAAAATCAAGCTCAAAATCAGGATACAAGACTCCATTCAAATATTCTAAACTCGGTTTTGTCTGGACAATGTAGGTCCTTCCAGAGTCTGAATAATGTTTGGTCTAAGCTTTGGTGCTGTGCTATGTGCATGAAGAAATATTATTTAAGTCCTAAATTGTTTAGTGAACAGTATCATCGAGACTGCTTCATTCACGCTTCTTGTCAAGCAGCACATCTGATAGAGGAAGACTAGAGTAGACCATGTCTACTCTTTAATGCTAGAGTAGATATAAATTATCTCACAAAAGATTTCTTGAGTATTTTTTTAGAAAGATAAATTTAAGTCTGCTTATTTAGACAGACACCAACTCAAAAATGTTTGACAAATTATTTTTGAGAAATGTTAAGGAACTGAAATATTGTTGCAGATATTAATAATCTCTCTTGAAATTGAGTTAGAAAACTTCAGTTGACTACATGAAAGCCTATATCCCACAGCCTTCCAAGAACTAGGGCTGTCAGAAAGTTTATTTGTCTGCACAAGTCTTTGACAATTATTAAACATAATATTAAATATAACAGTAATAGTTCCTGAAAGAGCTTTGTTCTTTTTTTTTTGATGAGGAGTTTAATATTGGTTTATGATATTTATGCAAAAACAGCTACCTGAAAATTTTGTCTACAGAATGTTAAAGATAGACTGTCTTTCAAATCTTTGAAGTTTTATGGCCCCAGTATAAGTCCCCACTCCTAATGAATGAACATCTGCTATACCTAATTAATTTTTTTAAAGCTCATATTAGTTTTGTGATTTTTTTAAAAGCCAATAAAAATGTAGTGTTGCCAATTTTTTGAAGACATTCTATGTATTTGCCAGGTGAAGATCTTGATAAAGACAGGAAAATAGAATCACAAAATGCCCTGGACCCCAAAGGTTGGCAATGCTACTCCTTTACTAATAGATTTGTTTCATGTTTGAATTAACACTTCTGAAAAGGAAAAACCAAAACCAAACTAAAGCAGAAGAACATGCTAGATGTAGATAACATTTCTATATCCAAATAGGATATCAATCCATACCAGATTGTGTTAGGTGATGTGCTTTGTGAAACATGCTCAGTGTGAACATATGTGAATGTATTTTAATGAAAAGTGAGTTGTTTCTACAAGCTAACTGTAGGTAATCTCCATTTCGTTTACCTCTCTAGATTAACCTTGTTATTAGGACTAGCCTTAGCCAGATTTTGTCTGCACAGTGAAGATGTTTTGATATTATTGAAGTGGATAGTAAATTTAAGAGTCCATTTTAGTTAAACGTGAACTTCTGCAGTGCACGCATAGACAGTGCTCATGGGCAATCAATTTTGTCTATACTTAACTGCAAGTGAAGACTAGATACAGGTTTCGGAATTGACTTTTGCTATATAGAAGGTACTGCTTAAGACTTTTTTTTTTTAAGGCATTTTAGGTGTTCATCTCCTTACAGCACTCTTCAGAGTCCTTTGTAAATCTCCGCCACTGAATTTGAGCAGAGTTCAAAGTGTGGTCTGGCTGAGTGGTGCAGATTTCATGCATTGTGAAAAAACACATTGATATAAATACATATTTTTGTCAAAAAGCTCCCATGTTTCTTTCAATGATCTGCCTATTCTAGAGCAATCTTCTACATTACACCTTCCTTAACCTTCAAAAGACAGCTGTTATGTTATGAATTTCCTTAATTTTCACAGAATCATCATCAAGGTTGGAAAAGACCTTGAATATCACCTAGTCCAAACATTTTTGAGATTTGTCATTGAAATTAAAATGTAGACTGAGTTCTCTTGTACCAGAAATGAAATTTCTAACAATTTTATGGATCTCTAACATTAATTTAGTGGTTAATTTTATCTTCTTTAAGCATCAGTCCTCACACTGATGCAAGATTAAGCTAATTTCTAAAATGATTTGTTCAGAAGAACATGATGTAGCTCCTGTCCCAGTGATAGAGCTCCACAAAGCTTCATGACTATTTTAGATGTTCCTTTTAGATTTTCAAAGCCCAGTAAGTTACCCTATTTTGTTTCAGTAGGCTAAAATGTAATTGTCCACTGTGATGTTATTCTCTTGGAGTATTAAATCTCAATAGAGAGGCAGAGAGAGATTCTTCCAGCTGCTAGTTCATCCTGCCCATTTTAGGGACTTCTATTAAGGTGGAATAATTTCCACCTCTGGAATTGCCTATGTCTTTCTATTTACCATATAAAGATCCTAGGTGCTTAGCTTAAATGAAACCTAAATCATACCACGATACTGAGGAAATGTATTGCTTGAATAACCGCAACAGTGTGAATGCATGGGAGTCTCATGTACACACACAGGTAAATGGGTGACAGTGGAGAACTGAACAAAAAGTTTTGCATACATACATGTTTATATATTTTTGTGTGGGGGAAAGAAAATATTGCCATAAACTCTGGGTATGTATATGGAAAAAAGGATGAAAACTTGTAGAACTGGCTGTAGATTTTGATGTACTTTAAGGCTGATCTGTGAAGTCATCAAAGTCAACAAGACAGTTTACGCTGTTTTTTCTGGGCAAATGATCTGACCCTTTCTGAAAAATTTTAGTGTCATGAACGCCCACCCCACTGTCTTTTTTGTGTTAGTTAAACTGTCAAAAAATGTTGCTGTTTACTTTGTTAAAGGGTTTTCTAAGGCAGATTTTAAGAGGTACGTAGTTCTTACTTTTTAAAATAATATATAAGCATGTGCAGATATTTCTTACACTAAAATCTGTCTTTCCTCTCCTGTAATAATGCAATGAGCCTGCAAAACATTGTGCAAATAAAATTCTGGCGTTAAGCTCATAATCAATGAGCTATTAATGAATTTGAGTTCACAATATATGTTTTTATAGATTAACTGTCAAAAGTTCTCTTAATGAAACTCCTCTACAGTTTCTTTATAAGTATCTATAAATAAGATTTATAAATAAGGTCCATATGTTCTCAAGCTGAAATTTTAATCCTCTTACTTGGATGATCCCACAAAACCGAGTAATTTTGCCTGATACTTAAAGCCCCTCAGTTCCCCCCCAAGCCAGTGGGAGCTGAGAGCACTCAGCTCATGAACAGAGTTCGTCCTGCTTGACAGTGACTTCAGGTATTATCACTGATAGTGACATAGTATAGTCCTGACCTACTGTGAGCCTCCCCAGAAACCTTAAAGAGCTTACAACCTTCACTCCAAAGCTTTCCCATTACAACAGTTAAAAAAAAAAAAAAAAAAAAAATAAAAAAAAAAAAATCTATGAAAACACTTACTGGAGACGATGAGTTTTGTGCCAGAACCAAATATCTTCTCATACCCCCACTGGTACATTCCCTTACAGAAACTTCCTGGGATGTTTTGGCTGAACAAGGACCAGACTTAACAGCCATCATATGAACAATAAAAGTCTATTCATTTGGCTACATGAATGTAGAAAACTTAAATTCAGTCTCAGCTAATGCTACTGTGCCCAAAGAGCCTTTAGTGACATGTACTTTAAATTCAGTTTCAAGCTAATCTTTGCCATCAATTCTTCAAAAAATACCAGACTGAAACTTGTTGTTGATCGATCTACCATATTTCCTCTAGATTTTTTTCTAGAAATACTACCTTTTTTTTTTTCCAGGATGGTGTTTTTGACCACACGATTTAAAAATACACACATGCTCGACCAGTGTTTAACTGAACTAATGAAGAGCAGTTCTCAACATCCACAATTCTTCTCAAGCCTCGTGGAGGGGCATTTGTTCATTTTGGGCTTAATTCTCTACATTTTGAGGTTACCGTAATGCTTAAAGAGTGCAGGATTGGGACTGTTCACCCTCAAATCCTGCCATAAATGCCTATGCAGTACTACTGTGAGTAGTCAGCACCAAAAGGAAATGCCACATGTGCATCTATGTACGGTGCTTCCACCATTCCTGTGCACGTCCTTCCCCAGGACCCTCTGCCTTCTCCCCAGGGGAAACCATGTGCACTTTGCATGAAATCCTGCCGACACTGAAACCAATGGCAACATTCCCAAGGGTCCAGGGTTTCCCCCCACGTTTTAATCTTCTGATTATTTATTGTTTGCCTGGAGCTAACTGGCGCTGTGGTGCATCAAAGAGAGCTCAGTTCCTCTTGACTGGAATAAATCAGCTTTGTTAGGACAAATCCACGGGGAAAGACCTTCCCCTTGACCCAACAGGGAGATGCAGAGCCTCAGCCATGGTTTAGGGGAGCTGTTGGCACTCACCATGTTTTCCTGTATAACACCTCTGTTCCCCCTGCTCTGAGGCCAAGGGCCGATCTACAGCCACGTTTCTGAGTTACCCTGAGCCAGCTGCTCTGGGCTGCAAGCTTTGCACGAGGGAATGACCTGATATATCCTAAGTATCCAAAATAAGTTATATTTCAGCAATTTGTCTTTTATGCGAAGACTCTGACCTCTCTTACACAAACATTTGGGTGCTAAAGAAATGAATTCTGCCACTGCAAAGTCCACATCACTTAAAACCTGTATTTTAATTTGTATTATAGTTTATAAATAAGATATCACATTCCCTCTCCTCCAGATTTTGGATTATCAGAATAAGTAATATTTTCTTAGATACTAAAAAACTTACCAGAAACAATCAGCTTTGTGCCAGTTCCGAAGACTTTGCTATATTCACCGTGTGTATGTGCTTTGCAAAATCCCTACGAGTCTCAATGTTCTTAAAACCTCACTCTGTGTCCCAGTCTAACCTCAAATTCTTACTAGAAATGCACCTGTTTCTTTTGAGACTGATTCCTGTAATTAAAATTTTCCTTACAATATGGTGTATGTATGAACCTGTGTTTGCTCATACCACAGCTTTCACTTATGTTAGTCTTTCAGGTTTAGATAAATAAGCTTGCATGTGCATAAAGGCTAAGGATTTGGAATACTGACAAAATGGAGGATGGAGCCCTAGTTTAACAGTGGGCATTCAGAGTCACTGGAATATTTAAGCAAATCCTGTGCGCCTGAGATTTATAATTTTCTAGACAGACTCCTTCAGCATCCCCTGAGGTTTCTATGGAAAAATGTGAGGAACAGTAAAGCCTGTCACCTTGACAACATGAGAAATAATGCATTTGCATATATATATGAATGTACATCTGTGTATGAATATATATCCTACAACAAGATCCTAGTGCTGCATGCTGTCACCAATTCAAGCTGATCTTTTTGAGCCATGGCTTTAGGATGACAGACACCATTATGAACAGGGGAATGTTCACACCGAAACCTCTTTGTAAATATGGCCTTAAAAGAATCCAATACTAAATTAATCTTCATGCCCATTAAATCCTTGGTATTTTAAATCCGTTAACAAATGATCCAATTAATATCACGGTAAGAGGCTTTCACTCTGCAGATTTGAGTGGTCACATCTTCCTTTATGTCTTATAGCTCCATCCTTCTGTCCTGACACTTGTTCGGACTTTCAAGTCCACTGGATTTTGATTTAGGGCTTCATGGTTTTGCCCATTAAAAAAAAATACCAATGCAAATTAATGCATAAATTAATCTTTACCATTTTGATTTTTAAAGGCAGAAAGTCAGTTTAATCCAACCTCAGGTAATGTAAAATAAATTTAAGTGTAATCTATCTATCTATCTATCAAATAGGCAACTTATATATAATTTTTTTAAATTGTAGCTTTTTAAACTCTGAACTTCAATGCATTTGATGAAAACAAAGTAGATGCTTCAGTAATATTTAGGAGATTGCATTTAAAGAAATCAAATATCGCTGCCATAATTTCTGCTATGAAATAATTTCCTAGAAATGTTAGTAGATTGTTCTTTTTATCACTTCAAAGTAAGTTAGCAATATGGTAGTTGCCAGGAAGACCCAGCTGCAGCTGTAGCAGAAGAGATGGCAGAGGAAAACCAGCCTCACACTGACTGAGCAAGCCACTCTGCTGCTGTGCTGAAGGAAAAAAAAAAAAGGATTTGAAGAGGCTGGTTAAGTCTTTGATTCAGTCTCGGCTTCCCTGCCGCAACCTTGTGAGTGCCTGAATTCACTGGAAAGATCCTGTATTGCCAGTTTGTGCTGGATTAATATTCTCGTTCTGCTGTAAACTTCTAAAAACTCATCTATTCCACCGATTGCAAATGCCAAACCCGTCTCTCAATTCCCAGCCCTTCTGTTGAACGCATTTTTGTAAGTCTCGAGCAACTTTCTTTTGGACAGAACTAATTAAAAGGGACCAACAAGAACAAAATCAAGTTCACTACAAGTTGGCGGGAGCTTGGCTCTTTACTGAGTATAGATCCGGGAAAAGGTTCTGCTCCAGTTTGAACCCCGATGATTCATTTGGATTACGGTCACTTATCCTAAATCCTGGGTTTCTACATTTCTTTCCATTAGGAGCAACTTACTGAGCCCATGTTGAATAGTCACCTCTAAAAAGACAAGCTGTGATGAAATGCCTGATCTTAAGCATGAGGTAACTATAGGCCTTTTACTCTATTAATCAGTCAGAAGCCTTGGCCAAGTAAAGACAAAATCCTACTGAATTAGAGTGATGCTTGAAAATAATTTATTTTAAACTGTAGCTACTAAAAGCATAGCAACTACCTGATTAACAAGGTAAGGATTTTCACTAAAAACGACACGCTTATCCTACATGGATATTTCTATTGAATTATAGTTAGGATTTAATTAGTCTTTCTAACATAAATCATTAAAACCAGTCTTTGCCTGATATGCTAATATGAGTTTATGTATTTAACAAGGCTTAAAACTTTTGGTAGCAATAGTTCTTCTGTCTTGTGTTTGTGTGATTGTTTACTCCAGGATTATGGCATTTAAAGCACATTTAATGGAAAAAGAAGATTTTTGTCCTCCACTTTCCATTAAAATAAAGACAGGAAAGACAAAATATGGATCACTTCTTCATATGCATGTAATCAAGCAGTAGAAGAGTATTTGGAGGCAGTGATGTATTTCTACTGCCAAAGTGCTGTGTACATGACAAAAATAATTACGGGTAAGTTATTTCACTTTTACTAGCTTAATGCAAACAGGATTTTGTCAATGGCCATTGCATATTGCTCTTTGTATCTCTATTGGGAAGAGGTTTTCTTTCTTTGTGCTTAATTCACAGCTGCTTGATTCCCTGCTTATTCCTTCAGTACAGCTGGAGGAAAGAATGAGGGCTCTGAAAACTGCTACAGGTAATTTTCCACCACATTTCCAAGGAGGAGCGTGACCAAAAGTGACTCAAACTAGCTCCTTTTCAAAAATGTTTGTGATCCTAAACCACTGCATTATGAACACAGCAAGGCTTACTGTAGGAATGACAGTCTGGGGAGGGGAATCCTGTGCAAGGATGGTGCCAACTGAGGCTCTAAGCAGGCTGGGTACCTTCTGGGACACTATAACACTCATCTATATGGCCACCCCAAGCTCCTATAGCTTATTGTATGGAAAAGAGCATGTAACTTACCTGACACAATGAGTTTTGTACCAGAACCAAACACCTTCTTATAATAGCCAGTCACAGTGAATAGTCTTTGCAATAATAGCACATCTCTGTTATCTTTATATGTGTAAATAGTATTCTTTAAAGAAAATCAGTTTTGCTGTATAATCTATTTTTAGACCCTAGAAAAGTAAAACAGGAGCAGTCGCCTAACCTAAACTAAAAAAAAAAAAACCAAACCAAAAACTGTGGAGGTTTTTGACGGTATATGTGTTCTTAAATTGACAGGATTCATCTCAACTAATTTTACTCTTCTGCAAATTTAGACAGATGGTGCAGATTGAGCACCTTGGCTCCATCTCTGCTTTCTGGAGAGAGGCAGCACCAGCAGAGGATCTGTTTGATCAGATATTGGACAAGTAATTTGCTCCTTACACACCCCCATAATTGCTGAGATCGGAGCAGCACAAGACCCTTAACCAATATTTTTGTTATAATTAACATGAAGCAAACCCCCTGCATGGTTTGGACTCAAACCTCCCAATAAACAGATACACCATTTTCAAATGGTCAGAATTAGGCAAACTGTTTTCATCTCAGGTGCTTAGCTGAGCCAAATAACAGGCATGCATCAAAGCACCTGAAGTTTACTTGAAGGAAAATAATATTGGTAAGTATGTCAAAACATTCTGAGTTTGGCATTATTCCTTAATAATAGTGATAAACAGTTTCTGCAATAGCTAGGAAGAGAGAACAGCCTTTCAACAATGCATATCTTCAGAAAGTTCTGGGCATATCCCAGATAACTTCTTTCATTTGGTATAGTCAGACATAGTCCTAAAGGAAAATGCTTTGCTTTTCAAAAATGTGAGTAACCCAAAGGTTTGACGCTTTTCTTTCAGAATGAATTAGAAATATCACAGAGGTTGGACATACATATTTAAACACAAAACCATCTTTCAGTTCTCTGAATGTTATCTTTGCCCTGTTCAAAGTCATGTTTTAAAAATGCATCTGTGCTGCAACAGCTGTTTGTTTCCCCCATTTCATACATAAATACAACACAATTTCATTGTGTTCTGCATATCTAAATGCTGTTTAAGAGGAAAATTCAGTAGGGTTAAAATTAGTGTGAGCTAAGAGCAGAGCACCTCGTGCAGCCAGTGTCTAACTGTATTGAAAATCATTTCAGAAGTAGTTAGGTTTTACATTTTGTACTTACTTGAAACAATAAGCTTAGTTCCACTTCCAAATATTTTGACATCAGCATCCCACAGTCTGATAACGCTTAGCAAATATCTCCTGCACTGCAATTTTCTTGCACAGGCTACAGAAAAAGTCTCTCTGATTGAGCGCTTGGTGATAAATGTGGCCTAGTTTTCAACATTGGCTAGAGTGCCATTTTTAGAAAAACTTCAATTTTTGAAGTGAGTAAAAAGTTCAGGGTTTTAAACCCAGCATTTTCTGAGAAGAAAGCAGTGCCGTGATTATTTTATAGCTATGTTCTAATCCTTTTAGCTCTGGGATTTCTGTTACAAAGATCTGTTGCCTCTGATGTGCTAGGTTTTCTCTGAAGTAACCTCTTCTTGCTGTTTTTAAGAAATGCGGTTACATTATGATTCTCAAAGGAAATTAAGGACGTTTACTATTATTTGTTGATTTAAATATACAGGTAAACATTTTTTTCCCCCCTAAGTGTCTCTTCCGAATTACTTTTTGTGTGAAAGTACCTCATCTGAAGTTTCATCAAACTCATATTTTGAAGGCCATATTTTAAATGCAGCGTCCATATTCTAAACAAAACTTACAGATGCCCGTAACTAAATTCATGCCTTTTGCAACCAGTTATGGTGTCATCTTTTAGGCAAAAGCAGCTGCCTCTGCACAGACACAGTTTAATTGCAGATTGCAGCAGAGAACATTTTTGGTCAGAGACAGAGATGAAATTTTAAATTTCTCTGTAACTCTTCTCTGCTTTTTACGATTTGACTTAATTACAGTCACCTTGATAATGTAATGTGTTTTCTGAGGAACATACTATAGGCATTGCTTTATACTGAAAATAGCATTCATTCTATTGATTGCAAAACTTCACCACAATTAAGAATAATACAAATGCAAATCAGTTACTTTTTCAGTAGGGCCAGGAACTAGAAGTTTATTACATTCCAGGCAATTTTCCTTCCCAAACAACTTAGACTGAACCATCTCTAGCAATAAGAAACTTTTTTGCATTTCTTACTTGCTGTTCTGAAAGTAAACTTTCAAGCAGTTCACTTTTCTTTCCCAGGACAGGAATGAATCCATCACAATATTTAATTTTTTACCTGTCCTCCTTTTTCCATTCCCCTGTCCTTAATAAGTATTCACTAATTGTTCTAGAGGCAATTGCTCTATTCACAAGGTTGATATGTTTATTGCCCATCAATCCACCCAACTGGGGCACCACTCCCAGTTCACAGATAAAACATGATTTTTCAGAAATTAATTTTCCTACAGTCTTCCATTCTTAATTATCTGAGAACCTGAATGATTGTGAAAACCAGACCGATAATAATGGTACTTACTAGAGACAATTAGCTTGGTTCCTGTGCCGAAGTATTTGATCCATGTGGTTCACGCTATGTTTTGTCTTTGCAATAAGCTGACGTGCTCCCTCGCTATGCCATTGCTGAAGAAAATTCCATTTTTTCCCCAATCATCATGAAGGCCTGACCCTTGGCTGCTTGGAGGATGTCAGGAATTTCAGACTCGCCCCTGGTTGTTCAGCTGATAGATATCTCAGGCCTTTTGGAGGGTGGAAACTCCTAAAGTGTTGACAATTTGTTAGCTAACTCCTCTGCTTAGGTGAATTAGGTGAAGGTTTCTCTTCAGTTTTAGACACACAAATAGGTGCACAGGGTTGTGCATGTTAAAACCCCACATATCTTCAGGTGGTGATCCTGCTTCTTCAGGTGTACCCCCTCTCACCTGCAGTTAAGTGACATAAATTACAACTAGCATTTCAGGTGGCTTAATACAATTCAGCAAAGGGAAGGGAGTGAAAGGCAGTACCATAAGCATCTTCAAGGTGTCCGTGTGCTGCAGGTTGCATCTTCTGACCCTGGTACGTGTTTATTGTCTGCCCATCTCCTGGAATCGCTCCAGATCTGCAACAGCAGCTCACCGGCAGCTTTCCGTGTACTAGCTGGTGGGAGAACACAGCTTTTCCTTTGCGCACAGGTTTCTTATAAAACAGCCCAAGATAACATCAGAGGAGTCACAGCTGCTGTTGATCAAACAACCTGCATGCTTAGTTTGTCATTTAGAAGAAACTGAGTCCGAGTACTTCTGGGATCTCGTGTGGCATACCGACTGCAAAACAATGTTAGGAAATTGCAATTTGTGGCTTGAGGGAGGAAACAGACTGAGGGTGAAAGTCTTTCAATTGAAGCAGATGTAACAAAAGGAATCAACTCTGAAGGCTCCTGGGCAGGAACGTTATAATTGCAACCACAAAGCAATGGCAGGAGAGATGTAAACAGAGACTGGTGCTGACCAGTACTTTTCCAGCTGTGTCCTTAGACACGAAGTGAAGGAGGCCACCACCACCTCACCTGCATTTGCTGGGACTGTTGGATTATGCTCATGACAGTGAGTACCTGAAAGGTCTCATTAGAAGAAACAAAGTGAAACACGGCTTGTTGCAGACGGCTTGTCTAACTCTTCTGTATGATCTGGGCTTGCAAGTATGACAAGGACAAAACTGAGCTATAGCCATTTGGAGACCTAATACATATTTGAAATTATTGCGTCACTTTTTCATCCCATCACACTAATATTCTTTAATGAGTTACACTTCAATGAACCAAGTGAGAAGAATATCAGAGTACTACAGTAAAGGAAAATATTAAGGAGAGGCTTGATGGTAGAGAAAAACATCTCAGGCATGAGGGTCAGCATGCACCTTGTGACTACAGCTAGGAGGATGCGTTGCATATGAGACGAAAGTATGAAAATTTGATCTTAACTATAGGAGGCTCTTTTCTTTGGTATGAGCTTGGGTAACTCTGTCTCCAACTTTTCTGGTGATTCAGATGCAACACCAGTGAAACACAAAGAGTGATAAGCAAGAAGATGGAGAAAGGGCATGATACAGCTTAAAAAAACCCCAAAACCCAATAAAAATGCCCACCCCCATATCTCAGGAGGAATAAAAGGAAAATCTTCCTCCTCCAACAGCTACTAACTTTTAAGTAAAAATAACACTCCTTTTCCTTTGCTTAAAATTTTATATACCTCTGGGCCAAAGCTCTCTATTTCAGTTTTCTTTGTCAGGGCAAAGACTTTGTAGAGCTCTAGTACCATGTGCTAACCTATTTCCAGGAACAACAATATGGAAACGTGCCCCCTTTCCATTAAATAAATGCTTGCAACCAGTTCACTGTCATGCTTGAGTGAAAAGGAGGAGAAGGTGGAATGCAGAAGATGGGGTAAGTATTGGACCTTGACCGTTCCCTTTGCACTAGGCACTTTGTCAGTCAAAATCTCTAGCTTTTGGCAGCTGATGCTTCCAAGGTGTCAGTCAGCACCGAGCACGTCCTCCTTCTCCAAAGCCTGTGCCTGAGGCCAGGCATCTCGTCCACACCAAAGGAAGTGAGTTGGGATCTTTCAGGTTGTTTGTGACTGAGACGCTGGGGGAGTATTTGTCTCGGTGATCACCGAGTTCCTACCACAGTGACTGTCCCAGTAGGCACAGTAGTAGGTAGCAGTGTCGTCTGGAATGACATCATTTATTGTAAGAATACATGTTTTCTGGCGAGGAACTTTTTCAGCCATGTACTTGGATGCTTGGAAGCCATCATCTACTACTTTTGACTGTGCTAAGTAGAGCATCCTCACTGGAGCTGCGTTTTCCTTCTGTTGATACCAGTGTATGATGGTGCTATCATCATATTCAGAGACATCTTTAAAGTGACATTCCAAGCGCACAGTTCCTTTAGACTTGGTGACAGATAGAGGCTTCTGCATGGGGATTCCTTGTGCATATCCATCTAGGGAAAAGAAAAAGAAAAAAAAAAATTATATCATTAGCTGAAGTTCAGGGATTTAGGAAGATGCTTAGCACAGCCATGGGTGCCTGTGAGGAAAGATAAGAAAATAAGGAAGGACTTACAAGACCAAGTGGCTGTGGCCACAAGCGCTGCCAGCAGCAGCATGTCGGCTGGTCATGTTCCACTGTCGTTGAGAGTCAGAGGAGAAGGAAACCAGCCCTTGTGCAGAGTGAGCAACGCCACGTGGGAGGAGGAGGGGACTCCCTCGAGCAGCAGCTGTGTGCATCAAGCTGCGGGGAGCAGTGGGGATGCGGCAGCAAGTGGGAAGGGGAAGGAATACCACATGCTCCAACGAGGATGAGGTCTGCTTCAGGAAGTTTTCTGTCACCACAACAGGAGCACAAGGGAAGGGTCCCTGAGGAAAAACATCAATGCTGACTGCAGCACTGCAAGTGCGGTAGCGATGGATGATGGAAGCCACTGCACGCAACAAAAAGTAAGGGGGATTCACTGAACTAAAGGGAAACTATTTGGAAAATTGCCATAAGAACCTATAAATAAAGACAGCACGTTACTAACAATTTCTGGCTTAGAGCTCTGTGTCACACCACTGGCTAGCCCTGAAGATACCAACAGGTTTCAGTGAAATCACTGAGCACTTGCCTGCTTAAACTTCACTTTGTGTTTAAGACATTCAAAATCTGAGGCTACTGGTGATTAGTGTTTATTTGCATCTATCGCTTCTTTCTAAAGTCCCATAGCTCATTCTGTGTGATGGTCCAGCTTTTCAGGTATCCAATTACACCCTTCATCAAGGAAAGAAAAGCTGATGAGTAGACACATACTTGGCTAAAGGCACAAACAAAAAATTATTCTGCTCAGGCTCCTCTGTGAAATGCTTGCTGTGCCATATACTAACTCATGGCAAATTTGAAATAAATCCATCAAACTTGACAGTTTCAGCAAATCTTCTTCCTTCCAAAAATTCCTGTTTGCCTTAAGATGAAATGAAACAAGAAGAGGGTTATAAGCAGCATGTCATCAGCTGTGTTAGAGAAGAGACTGTACATCTCTGATTTAAATCGGTCCATGTGGGATTTTGGGTATCCAAATTAGGTAAACTGTATTTCCAGGGACTTACAGTTGTGTAAAAGGAACAAGCTTTAGAAAACTCTTTTTCTCTTAGGATATTATTAATAGCAGGAAAAATTAGTAAATATTGTTTTATAGGTTTAGTTAATAGAGCACAGGTGCTCTAGGAACAATACTGACAGTTTAAGCAATTTAGAAAGGCTAGGCAATGAAAAGCTGGACATTGACTAAGTATATGTTAAACAGAACATTTTGGGTATTTTCTTAGAAGTCTAAAAGTGAGTTATGATGAAGATTGTTCAGAAGATAAGTAACCATGATGACCGAAGACTGCATCAGTGAACAGTGGTGTCTGAAGAGGAAACGGAGGATAAGAACTAGTTGAAACTGTGGAATACAATGGACTTTTGAAATTGGTGATGAATTGGGAGATGAAAGTGCCTGGAAAATCACCAAAGACTCTTTGTACTGTATGTTATATCATATATATAGAGCGTGCTTTTTGTTAGCTGTTGCCACTCACTGAGGTGATGGCCCAACTCCTAGTTGTTAATAAAGCCAGCCTAGAGGTAGCCACAGACTGGTGAAATCCTTTAACAGTTGCTTACACATACAGCAGGGAAGACAAGAGCGGGGAACATACAGATCCTTTTCTTAGAAGTCCTAGGAAGTGGCAAGCATATCATTCCCACCACTAAGGTACTTTCTTCAGCGTGTTGTCTTTCTTCTAGTGTCTTCTCTTTCCTAGGGGAGAACAGTGGCTGGACTAAGAAGTCAGTGCAATGTTTGCTCCCCTCAAGGGCCACCAGACGCCTGCCATGGGTGTGCAAACAGCACCAAAGAGGCAGGTCTGTTTTCAGTATTCATGTGCTAAGTCTTAAGGCAGTGAAGACTTCCTTTGCCCTTACAGTAGATGTGCTATTGACAACCCAGACTCAGTTGTACAGGGTTAGCTGCTTTTTTTTTTTTTTTTGGATGGCAAATACCACATGGAGTGAGAAAATCAGGGGAGTGGCCTGGTTACAGCCCCGTGGTTCAGATGTTGAGGGAGACGAGTTTTTTGCCTTGATGATCTTTGAATTTCTATCACAGTGAGGGTCCCAGTAGGCACAGTAGTAAGTAGCAGCATCATCTGGTATTACATCTTTTATTGTAAAAACACATCGATTCTGGCTAGAAACTGTTTCAATCATGTACCTGTCTGCTTGAAAGCCACTTTCAAATGAAGGTTTCCCTCCTGAATAGAACAGGAGCCTCTCAGGAGATTTACCCTCCTTCTGTTGGTACCAGTGTATGACAATGCCATCAAAACTTGCTGCTGATGTTTGAATTTCACATGTCATCCGTGCACTTCTTCTGAACTTTGTGATGGATATAGGGCTCTGCACGGGAATTTCTTGTGCAAATCCATCTAGGAAAGAGAAAAGGAGGAAATGATGTTATTAGCTGAAATACAGGGATTTGGGAAGAAGCCTGTTAGCACAGCCATGGGTACTCTGTGAGGAAAGATAAGAAAGTAAGGAAGGACTTACAAGACCAAGCAGCTGTGGCCACAAGTGCTGCCAGTAGCAGCATGTTTGCTTGTCACTCTCTGCTGTCGTTGAGAGTCAGAGGAGGGTGAAGGGGACCCCAGATGGGGACAGCGTTGTGTTGGAGGAGGAGGTGACTCTCTTGAGCGGTCTCAGCGATGAGTCTTCTGTGTGCAAGCAGATGGGGCACATTTATATAAGGCTGTAGTTCTGTCTGCTCTTGAGGTAAATATGAGAAACGCTGGTAAATCCAAGGATTGTGGCCCTTGAAAAGTCAAGCCAGAGCCACTGAGGAAGGGCTGTGAGTGAGAGCAGCTCTAGTTGTGTATCAGGGCGTGAAAGTTCCAGCCCAGAGGTCACTCCAGTGGGTGGTGTGCATGCCGTCACCCTGAGGGGTGAGAGGAGGTGTACAGTACCTAAACAGGCATTCCCCCATCCTTTTAGGGACCTCCTTTTGCCACCTCGGCTTAGTCACCCAGGGGCATGTCCAAGGGCTCCTGTGCTGGTGCTGCCCTCCACCGAAGCAGCTGGAGGGCACCAGCCTGCAGCAACCGGGGCAGCTGCGCTTCGGGGACGCGCCTCCACTTTGGTTTCAAGTTCAGGAGGAAATGCACAGCCACAGAATTTTGGTTTTGACTCTCGGATGAGGTGCAAACACTTCTTGGAAAGGAAGACTGGAACACAAAAGGGCATCAACAGACATCACAGAGGGGCATCTCGATGAGCAGGGTTGGTGCCATGGGGCACTCCTCTGTGACGGGTGAGCCTGAGCTGCATCTCGCCAATCGTGAGGAAGAGGAGCTGCTTTGGTCTCCCTACTGCTGGCAGCCGGCCACGTGCAGGAAGCCAGCAGTAAGCACATGTTGCTAACTGTCTTGGAAAGATGCCTGTGAGAGCAGGGGTGCAGGGAGAAGCAGGTGAGGAGAGACACTTGCCTTTGTGTGGTAGCAATGGAAAGGGCCCCTCTCTTCCCAGAAAATAACTGTGGGAAAGTCTGTTTAACTTTGTCAGGCCACCCTGAGCAGAATGAGGAGGAGAAGTGACTTAAGGACTGGCAGGCACAACAAAGTGACAAGGAAGAGAGAACTATGAAACAGAATTTAAGGTGAAGGGAGAGAGATGCAAGGAGAAGGTCACCCATCCCAGCAGCATCTCATGATGGTCTCCTGCATGGGTGACTATTGTTAATCAGAGTGAAAACTGCATTGGTAATAGTATCTGAGGACCTGAAATCAAGCCCTTGTTTCCTGTTGCCCCAAACTACCAGGACATGTATAAGCACAAGTAGCAGCACGTTGCTACTCTTCTGATCACACAGCAAAAATCTGTCAGGTGCCTGATCTCAAATTAAGAGAAAAGGAATATGATACTGAATCTCACACAACTGAACATCTAAATTACAGGCACCAGCTCATGGTCACTGCAGCTAAGACTGTTCCTGACCTTCACAGCCCCAACCAGTTGTCCCTTTTTGTGACAGGTCCAGCAGAGCACCCTTTGTTGGCCGCTCAATCACCTGTGCCAGGAAGTTGCCGTCAACTCATTCCAGAAACCTCCTAGACTGGTTGTGAGGAATCCTCACATCCCACAATGTGAAAACAGAAGGCAAGCTGACTGAAGTTAGCATCTGAGGTCACATGTACTACAACCTGGTTTTCAAATAGTTAAGGTGGCCAGTATATAGCAAGGCCATAATCAAATCGTACTGAAAATTTAGCAAAAACAATGCTTAGAGCCTGTGGAACTGTAAAACCACCACTATCAAGGTACTTGTGCTCATTTTTTAAGGTCCATATGCATTAGAGGAATATCTCACAGAATACTGAGCATGTGCACTCTGTCCTAACTAAGGAACTTGGAGACACAAAACTATCTCTGTTTTCTGAGTTAGCTGTCAGGCAAATGCCAGCTTCCCTAGAACTAGTCTTTGATTGTAGAACCCGATCTGTAAAATTCGGTACACTTGGCCTGAAGGGCCTGACAGTCTCTGCTTGCCAGGGGCCTAGCCCATGGCCGAGGTTTTCCATTGTGTCCTGGACACATCAGGTGAGAAACTGTGACAATAAAATTAGGTTTTCTGGGCTGTTGTAGGAATTTGTAGTGGCTGAAATGCAAAGGAAGAGAAAAAAAAAATGTGAAGGAAGGAGTGTGTGTGGTCTTTTATATTCAAGTATTTTTTTCCTTTTTTAAGAAGCAGCACTGAGGGGATGGAGATATGTTTTTCTGTTTAATCTAAGGATTCTAACAGAAGAGAAATTAACAGCTCACATTTGTTCACGCACAGAGACAGGCCATGTTCACTATCAGGTGAGTGCTTTCAGCACAATCAAACCTCCATTTTAAGAGCAATGTTTCATATATTTACCCTAAAGTGACTACAACTCTCTGGTTCCTGGATGTTGCAGATATGTGTGAGGACTGAAGTGACATGCTGATTGCTAGCATCATATATTTAACAGTTGCCAAAAGATATTGTTGGTTTTCCTACCCTGCTGCAGAAAATCATGACAGAGGGGTGGAATAGGGAAGTATCTAATTCTCAGCAGAGTTCAAAGTGCCTTTTTGTACAGCTTATCCTTGCCCATCTAATGCTGTGATGCCTCGATAAATCCAGTACGCACAGTAGTAAATGCCAGAATCCCTTGGGGTTAAATAATCTATAGTGAGACCATAGCGGAGCTCAGTAGGATGCTTCTGAACTTGAACTCTCCTTTTATCGCCACTGTTATCAAAAACAGGTGACTGTCCTGACATGTACAGTATCCTCTTTGGTGGCTCCCCAGAGAGATGCTTGTACCAGTGCACGGTGGTTTGGATGCTCATTCGGCATTCCATGCTGACAGAGCTGCCCTTCATCTGCCTCTGCAGTGCTGGGGTTTGTGATGGAGCTGCCTGCATGTCTCCACCTGGAAAAGAAGCAGCAAAGAAATTGTGTGAGGGGAAGAAATTGCTGGAGTTTAGAGCCAGGACTGTGTTATCTGCAAATGGGAAGGAGAGGAAAAAAGGGCTTACGGGACCAAAATGAAGTTGCAAGAAGGACTGGAAGCAGCAACATGCTGCCCATGTGGGTTAAACCTGGAAATGAAAGACAGAAACATTATAAAGCCCTTCAGGTGGAGAAAACATCAAATGGCTGGAAGGAGGAAATGTCTCATTTGGCACATCCAATGGTCTTCAACCCACTACCATGGAGGGGGCTGAGTTTACTGACAAGCTAAACCACAGCACTAGCAGTGTATAAAGGACCTAAAATGCTCCATCCGAAAAAAATTTTCTTCATTTATCTCTTACATTCTTCTCAGATTTACCTGCTGAACTCACACATAAACCCTCAAATTGTTCAATCCATCCCTTCCCAAGGATGTTCTCCTCTCCTCAGATACCCCAAAGCTGTCCCAGAAATGCATTTCATCAGCCTTTCCTAGAATATACTGCCTCCTTTGGTAGCATAAATTGGATTATTCGTAGTGAACTATCATCTCATGCTCTTTCTTAAAACAGCTCCAAAATGTCTGGTCAGCCTTATCCAGGTACTCCAGACAGTGAAGTGAAACCAGGGTGAAGTATTGTTTTGCCAATTATTAGGCCTAGCATAAAGGACACAGATGAACCAATAACCAAACTGTATTTGATACAAAAGGGTCAGTACATGGGTGAGCGCTGGGGGTACAAACAAGTCAATCAGATTATATATAATTGACACCAATCCCACTGACCCCAACAATGACGCTGCATGACCAACAATGGGTGGAATAAATGGTGACATGCAGTTTCCTATAAAAGGATGGGAGACAACCGAGTCAACAAGCCAAACACATAAGACCAAGGAAGCCACACACTGAATCTCTACACAGTCTGCGTTTACAAAAGCCAGACCTGACTGGAGCCCAGTTCCAGGGAGGCGGGAGGTCCTTCCCCAACAGGGAACTCTGCACAGGACATCCACCTCTGTCCTGGGTTGCAGTGTATTCTATCACCATCCTCATGAGCTGTGGAAATCAGGTGGGGCAGTGTTTCCTTGCCTCCCCCCCTCCCCCGACTATCTTTCTGTTAATGGCCCATCAATGCCATGTAGCATGACTCCTTACCCCATTGTGAGATGCTCCATCCAGAGGGAGAAATCCAGCATTTCATCCTGGATATAACCTGAGATTCTGAATACCAGATATGCTCTCTTTTCCACTGGATTGCCAGAGAAGATGAGCTACTTAACCACCACTGGACTTTTCTGAGGAAGAGCAGATCTTTTTGCTACAGAATCACTGCTTCGGGGGGACTGCAGCCACCATTCTACCAGACTGCTATCACCACCCTGATTAACAGGGAGTCTGTCGGGTTGTATCCTGACTCTGTTAGTTTAACCCAGTGTTATCTGCCTTTAGAATTTTTTTTCCCCTTATTAAATTGTTATTCTGACGGTGCCACCCACTAGTTTTTTTCAAACTAGCACAACCTCACAGACACTGCCCCTCCTGCAAGTGGTCCCAGCTTTTATCCCTCCGTGGGACACCTGACCTTGGGTTACTGAATGTGGGACACCTGGGGCTCATTTACCTATTGACTCTCCCTGCCAGGCCAGCCCCACCCTGGAGGGAATCCTAAAGGCAAACTCACCCCTCCTTTGGGAAGGGCTGTGGGAATCACCCATATGTCAACCTTAATTTGGGGCTTGGGGTTGAAACCCCAGCATTTCATGTATACATGTGTCCCAGCCAACTGTTTGCTGCCTTCTACTTTCCCTCATTTCTGAGCCCTGAAAAGGTGCCCTACAAAGACTTCATAATAATGGCCCCTTGGGCAGCAGCTACCACACACCATGCTCTTCCCTAAGAAAGATTTCTCATTTTCTGACCCAAAAGAGAGAATCTACTCGGCATCTTTTTTGAGTCTTTTTGGCAATAGCAGTGTACATAACTAAATCTCATCTCTCACAGTGTGTACGGAAAGTTCATATTCTTCTGTTGTCCTTGTGACAGATACATGAATTTGCGTTGGGTCCTGTAGTGCAGATGTATCTACATAGAAAGAACAAAACCCAAATCATAAACGTGGAGTTTACTGACTTGAGGACTCTGTCTTTATTATTAGTCCATT